ATGTTGGGGTTCAGGGGGACCAGGAAATCTACGGAGCTGCGTGGGGACAAGTGGCCTCCAAACAGGATAACCTCTGTCTTGGACTCATTAAGACTGAAGAAATTAGAGCTCAACCAAGATTTGACATCACTCAAACAATCCAGTAGAGGTTGCATTGCATCCTTGCTTGAAGACCCTAGTGGCAGGTAAATCTGGACGTCGTCAGCAAAACAATGGAATTAAATCTTGTGCTGAATTGCTTGTGTTTACACTGCTTATATCTCCTTTTTTGTTTTGGACTGTGGCAGTTTTATCACTTTCTTTTTATCCCATGGAGTTAATAAAGTTAAATTACGATCTTGATTGGAGTTTGTTGTTTTCTGCAAGACACTGAAAATAAATATTGTGCCAAAGGACAATGGTCCTTGAAAATAAGTCTAGCACTTTATCATTCTATCATTGACACTGTCTGATATGTTGTAATATATGAATAAATCACAAAGAAAGGGTTGATAAAGATGGGAGCACTTTATTTTTCATGATTTAATGGCTGAGTAATAAAGATGAGCTCTTTACTTTTAACAGTGATACCTGAACTTCTCTAAAGAAAAAGCTGAAATCAGCAATACCAGCAATGAATGAATAAATCACCAGTGTCAGCTACTACGTTACTGATAAACACAGTTCCTGGGTTAGATGGATTAACAGTGTCAAAAACAAGCCATAAAATGAGGCAAGGGTTCACTGATTTTTACCCCCGTTTCCTTGTTGGAGAATGTTGAGAGAAGGCCATTGACACTGTTATCCAGAACTGTGCCCTCAACGTTATCCTTTCTGTCACTGCCACATTCTACAATTCACTGTATTGTGTTTTCTTAAACAACCTGGCTATTCAAAGTGCTTTATTGAGACATAAAAGAAAGAGGGACTCGATATAAAGGAAATACAGAAGAATGTAAAGAAGCACACGTGAAAAGAGTAAAATTAAGTATCACTCTAATCATTCAAATCGTTCCCCTGGCCACGTTCTTAAGCAAGATATTTGAGCTGTCTTGATAACACAAAGCAGCAATTGGTTCTGAATATAGTCACAAAATAAAACAATATCCGAATCTGTTAGTCTGTGTCTGTTTCCCTGACATAACCATCTGAGTGGTTGGAGGTACATTGGAGGCTGGAAACCTACAAAGCACAACAGCAGAACTAAACATGAATACAATGAATTGTAAAAGGTAACTTTGAAGCTCCAGTTCTGAATGTCAACAGACTTGTTGTGACATTCTCCAACAAGGAAACAGGAGTAAACATCAATGAACCTTTGCCTCATTTTATGGCTTGTTTTTGTTATTG